CCCCAAAACCCCAAAACCCCAAAACCCCAAAACCCCTTGCTCTTGAATTTGAGAAAGTGCAGTAAAAACAATTAAACTTCTAAATAACATTTTATGGAATATTTTGAAATTAAATTTAGACTCTGTGATCCACTATATAAGGACTTCCTGATAACATATATATATTAATTAAACTATTAAGAGAAGTCTTTTAGAAATTTTAACTTTATCAACTTTAAACTGAGCATAATATAATGGGAAATTCTTCAATCTGCTGTCAAGATAATCTTGAATTCGATATAACTGACGCCTAATACATATATTCCAAGCAATCTAGCCAAATGTCTCTTCCAACTCAAGCAAGTAATAGTCAAGTCATGGAGAAAGATGGGCTTTATCATAACTAGAAATTCAATTAACGTCATATATAACAGATACATTAAATGAAGATTGAGATTGAGCAGGAAAAAATAAAGTCTAACAGGAATCACATAGATCTAATTAAAAATATGCATTTAACTCAGAGAAATTCGCTTGAATTGGATCAATTAAAGTATAATGAGGCGAATACCTTGCCTTATTTGTAAAACCTAAGCTCAATGAAATCTTCATGCCTTTCCAACAATAGTCTAAGCAAAAATTCTTCATGTCTAAGCGAAAGAAACTTGAAAAATGTAGTATCTAATACTTCTCCATTTAAGACTTAGAAAATATATGACTAAGTGGATTTCGGAAAGATAAACCAAAAATCTTAAAACCCATTCACTATTCGCATAAGTAAATTTTCAGATCACAGCAGATCCGAAAAAAATAGTAATTCTGTCATGTATGATTCTGATAGTGATTAATCTAGAGCTAGTTAGACTAATGCGAAAAAAAAGATTTTAAATAACATGTAGAGAAGAGATATTGAGGTTTAATACTTAGATATTAGTGATTGTTCAAGCGATACTATCAGTGAATTAGATAGTGAGTTCTCGGATAACCATCTCAATAAAAAAGATACACTCTATACAATAAATTTCAAGGATCCTGCCTTCAACAATAAGTTCTCAAATTATAAAATTAATCAATATATTGGAGCAGACTTTGAAATAGCAAGCTCAGATATTATTGAAGAGGATCCTAATGAAGATAAATATCCTCAGATTGATTTAATTTAAAAGAGAATCAGACTCAGCAGTGAGCAATTTAATGATAATGCTTTGAGGATTTAAATAGACTAAATACAGGCAATAAATTCTTATACTTAGAACTTTTCCTTAGGCTAAGCTAATGTATAACGTAAATATTAACAAAAATAATAAGATGCTTCTGTTATCAAAAAATAATTGTTAAAGAAATTATTAAACAAAAGGATTTCAAGGAAATCTTAAAGAATTAGAAAATAGAAGAAGATTTACGAATGCGAAGAAGTTAAGGCATAAGTTTGACAAGGATTTAGAACTAAACACAATGGTTTTGATAAACTAATGATAAAGTAAAAATTATAATGCTAATATATGATAAATTAAATATATAATCATGGAGAAGCATCAAGTTGCACCATGAAGAGCTAAAATAATTACTTTAAATCACTTTAATTTAATTTTCTACCCATTCTTACCTTGCTAAAGTCCATGGGTGCTGTTCAGCCCATTGACTCCCATTCCATTTTAAATGATTTAATTCTAATATCTATTCATACTTTATTAACCTCTTTCTCTTGCCAATTTATCGATATTACTAGGATATTAATTAGTATGCTTTATATAATGATTTCCATTTCCTGATCCCTCAGGTAAATTCGGATTAGTCTTTGTAAAAATGTTTTGTAATGGTGTTGTCATAGTTGAGCTCAAGTTATTCTAAGGCTTAACGCTATTACTGTTAATCAAAAGCTTGGAAGGTTACTTCACTTCAGGTGATTTGTGTTGCCAATATGTTAACTAATATTGATCTGTGAGAACTTTTTTCTAATCTGCACCCTTCATCTAAGATGGAGCAAGTGAATGCGGGGCCATTATCTATTTAGCTTGAATACTTTAGCTATACTGATTACTATTCGAAATGCTGTTTGTACTGGCTGCTGTACTGCTTTATCTTTTTTTCCTAAATGAAGATTTCTATAGAGCTTGCCTAATCTCATTCATATTACTTGATTTTTTTGTTAAGGTGTTATATTCATTAAGGTGTTTCTTATCTGGTAAGATATTAAGAAGCTAGTCATTCATTTTGGGGGTAATCATCAATGGTGTTTTAGTAATGTGAAGAAGATTTTACTGCTGATAATTGACCATAACTTAACTGACCTTGGGTGGTTAGGATGTTCTAACTACTGACTGGCTGTTAAAAGCTAGAGAAGTTCTTGGTCTATTAAGTAGCTATCCTAATAATTTATGTCCTATTTATTTAACATATAGCCCAACAGAGTCAGCTTTGGCATTTGATCTTTATTCAGCTTATACTAAGTTATCAGTAGTTTTTAGAGAAAATCCAATACCAATACCAAATAATTTCTCAATAGGTTTATTAGTCTCATCAGAGATTACTCTACATTAATTATCAACTTCAACGCTTGATACTTTACCCTATCCTAATCTTTTAAGTTCAATCCTTTACCCTTAATGATCATGAACTCTTATATAATTTGATTAATATCCACAAGCAAATATTACTACATCAGAGTTCTTAGTATACACCTTCTATTCAAGATAATTATCGGCTCGAATTAAAGTTATTCTATTTTCAATACCTTTAGATATTTTTCTATATAATTCCTTAGCATCTCCTCTAATGCCAGTAAATGGATACACAATACCACCTTTTGAAACATCAAGTTTTGAATCATAGTCATTATAATTGTCAGTCTAAGCCATGATCACGCTACTATAATACACCTTAATTTTATCTCTATAAAGTATCTATACTTTTGTCTTATCATAGGAAATACATGGAAATTGTACATCATCTAAATCATTCATAGTTGGATTAGGCAACTTAGGAGAACTCATACATTTGCAATATTGTTAGCACAAACATGACTAAGTACTTGAGTGTGTTAATCCAAGAGGACAAGAAACACATTTTCCACAAGTTGAAATGTTCATCGCCATAGTACTATGAAATTTTCTAAGTCTGCAAGGTCCATTTAGCAACAGCCATGCTATTGAAAATGCTGAATGAGATCCTCCAACAATAGTAATAGTTAAGTCTTGATTATATTTTTATATGATTTGTAGCAACTATTTGAATTTGGCTTCTCTTAGCAAATCATCTGATTAGAATACATAAGTTGATGGATGCACTTCAAGTTTTTTTAACATTGCTTTTTGAATTTTTTATTTACCTCCTGTACCAATAACCACATTTTTGCTATGAAATTTAATAATTCTTACTTTCGGAGACAGTTTTAGTGATCTTTCGCCCTCTTTTTGAATTTCATATGTAAACTACTCCACAGTCGTCACAAATGTCCCATCTTAATTTACTATAATTGACTTTGCTTTGTGATGTGGATAGAATATCTTTTTATTAAATCTTTGATAAATATCGTAAAGCATCTAGTTCCCTGCAAAAGATAAAAAAGCTCCAATCAACTAAAGTGGAGCAATATTTTTTCCTGTTTACTTCAAATACATAGCTAGGTCAGATTAGCCTAAATTAAGAAGGCCAGTCATAACTTATGGAACATATGTGTTATTCTCACTCATTTAAATTATCTCCTTTGATGGTCCTTAGATTACTTGCAATTTAATTACTGGATTTCTCTATGATTATCCCTATAATGATACAGGCTGATTTATATTTGTAGAATATTCTTTCTTTTTTATGATGTTGTTGTTATTAGCATTGATCTATTAAAGCTGTTGCTTTTATTTTTCCTCCTTTGATTTCTTAGGTTTAGCATATTAAATGACTTTTAAAAAACCATGTGCGGAGGTGTTCGACCTAATCCCATAATATTATTATAGGTTTCCTCCACCAAAGGTATCAGAGCCATCTATTATGGCAAAGTCATTTGCTGCTTCCAAAACTCTTAAAAGTTATTAGTAAAATCTTACTTATTCATCTAATACACATGTGTGAAAACTCCTAAGGTTGCTGGACCTGCTCCAATGAATAAAGTTCCAATAAATATGTTGTTATCTTGGGGACAAATATTAGAATTATGAGATCCTAAAGACTGAACCGCATTACGATTCATCTTATGAGATTAATTTTTTTATTTTAATTTTCTTCTAAATTCCCTTCCAAACTTTTATTCTGAAATTTAATAGATAATTAAGACTATAGTGATAAAGAAATAACTCAATCGATAACTAAAGACCTTCAAACTATTCCATTTATAAGTAATATATGTTCATTCTAAATCTGGCCTTGTTGGAATCATAGTAAGCCCTTTGAGATTTTTATCCCCTTGCACGTAGCTGTTATTTAAACTTCTATTCCCATTTTATGACATAATATTCGATTGCCTTATCACACTCTTACTTCTGCTGCTATCCTTGTAAGGATTATCTTTTGAATTTTGATCTTTATCAACACTCTATTCTACTATTGGATACCCAGCTCTTTACTAGCTTATAGTTCTAATGAGATTAGATTCGGCCTAAGATTGATTTAACCCACTATTATTGATTAAACTCTCTTTATTTTAGCTTATATTAGGAGACTTCAAAGATTATAGTCCAGCCATGGGGAGTGGAAGTGGTTTTGGCCTGAAAAATTGTTAGGGCTATTATTAAATCATGGGCATAGCAGATCCTCTGTATTCAATTGCTTTTCCTTAGAAGTTATTTTTGTTCATTACATTGTTATAAATATTTACTTGCTTTTCATTGACGTTATAATTTGATCTTATTGCTACATTTCCATTGGCGTATTAAAACACTCCTTAACCTTCAATCTTATGACCACTCTCCCATATTCCTTCGTAACTGCTCCCATCAGGATGACTTAAAAGACCCTTACCATGCATTTTATCATTAAACCATTCACCCTCATATATATCACCTTTCTAAAATTTCTACATTCCAAATCCGGATCTCAAGTCTTGAACCCATTCACCTTCATATTGATCTCCATTAGGATAGCTCATTACACCTTACCCATGTTTTTGCCCCATAAACCATTCTCCATTATAGATTTTTCCATTTCTGTACAACATTTTGCCATACCTATGAGGCATGTGTTCCTTCCATTCACCTTCATATATATCTCCATTTCCATATCTTATTGTACCAACTCCAGAAAATCTATCATCTCTCCACTCACCCTCATAGTGATTTCCATTTTTCATGAATAATTCTCCTTTTTCAGGAATGCCATTATTCCAATAGCCTTCAAACCTCATTTAGTTTGCTGCATAAAAGCATTTTCCCAGCCCATTCTTAAGATTATCTTTAAACTCTCCTTCATATTTATTACCGAAATCATCTACTAGCGTTCCTTTTCCCTCTATTTTATTATAGTACCAATCACCTTCATAATAACTTACTCCATTTCTATAACTCATTGTACCCTTACCATGTTTAAATCCATTTTTAAACTAGCCTTCATAAGTATCTCCTCTCGCTGTTGTTAGTTTGCCTTTGCCCTCCATCTTCCCTTTTTTAAATTAGCCCTCATATAAATCATTATTAGGAAATTGCAATCTTCCGAGTCCATCATAATTTGAAGTGTCTACATTATTCCTAGGATTATTTTAAACCTGATTGTATTGGAGCATCTGCCTCAATTATATTGGATTCATCATTTATTACTACTACATGTTATTTGCTTAGTATTATTGTTAGTTTTGATTGATCCCTTAATTTTGAAGATACAATTGCTAAGGCAGCAATTTTGGCATTTAGAAATTAACAGTTTGACTGGGAGTCAGATAATAAGCATTCATTATTTAAGGAGATTTTATTATCGAAGTTTATAATTTTAAATTAAAACAATAATAAATAGGGTGACCACATAAACTTTCGCGAGTTTGGTCCTCAAATGAAACATTGCTTTAATCCAATCAATGTAAGTTAAAGCAATAATGGAATGGTGATGAAAAACATTTTTGCACGTCAGTCTTAGAAAATGATGCTGATATACAAAATCGATTAGTCTTACTGATACATTCCCAAAACTAATTTCAAATTTGAAAAAGCTCAAATATCTTAATATTCTTTTAGAACTGTGAAAATGTATGGTTCCACGATCTATCTTATTACCTCTCAAATACTTTTAAAAGGTATGTAATAACAAGAACTCAAGATAATGATGAAAAAACATACTTTTAAGACCACAGCCTTCGGGCAATGATGGCTCGATTAGTCTTCTGAAATCTAACTATTCCAAATAGATATTTTTCTCAAGCAGATCATAACCCCATATTTAATAGGGAATTAATGAATTTAATACAAAAATATTCAAACCTGAATTGCAGTATTAACTTCAATAAGTTCCTCGTAAAGATGTAAGTGTACTCACACATAATAATCTAATGATGAAAAGTCTCTAAATGGCTTAGTCTTTTATGAATCTTGTTGATTACACTTAGACCTTAACTGACATTTACATTATTTCAAAGATCAAATTAATTAAACATCTTTGTAGGTTTCAGAGTTAAGATGCCAATCAATAAGTATTTGATTTCACTTTTGCTTAACAATTCAAAACACACACTCTTTTATCTTCTAATAAGTACTTATGGGGTTTTGGGGTTTTGGGGTTTTGGGGTTTTGGGG